AAGCGGTTGAGGGCGGCCAGGCGGCCCGTCAATCGTTGAACCTCCTTCACGTTGCGTGGGGGTTCCATGTCGATGATGGCCTGGATCTTCTCGGGATTGGCCTCAATACCCCTTCGGCTCACCATGTAGCCCAAGAATTTGCCTCCTTGGACGCCGAAGGTGCATTTCTTCGGGTTTAGCCGAAGGTTGAATTTTTGCATGATGGCGAAGATTTCTCGGAGGTCGTCAGCATGGCTGGAAGATTGTTTGCTTTTGACGATCATGTCGTCAACATAGGCCTCCATGGTGCGCCCTAGGACGGCTTGAAAGACCCGGGCCACCATCCGGGTGTAGGTGGCCCCTGAGTTCTTTAGGCCGAAGGCCATTACTAGGTAGCAGAAGATGCCTTCGGGAGTCATGAAGGCAGTTTTTTCGGCGTCTTCCTCGTGCATGAAAATTTGGTGATACCCTCGGAAGGCATCAAGGAAGGACATAATCTCACATCCTGCGGTCTCATCCACCAGTTGATCAATGTTTGGTAGAGGGAATGGATCCATAGGGCACGCTTTGTTGAGATCGGTGTAGTCCACGCACATGCGGAAGGTAGGGGGCTTCTGTGCGAGGACTACATTCGCCAGCCATGAGGGATATTTCACCTCCTTGATGTGCTTAATGGAGAGGAGCATGGCGACCTCCTTCTTCACAAATTCCCTCCTCTCGGCGGAGAGGGGTCTTCTTCGTTGTTGCACTGCCTTTGCCGAAGGGTCCACCGAGAGGCGGTGGGTGATGACCCTTCGGCTGATTCCCGGCATGTCCTCCGGCCCCCACGCAAAGACAGTGGAGTAGGCGCGGAGGGCGTCGGTGATACCGGTCTTGAGATCTTCAGGGAGCTGGGCTCCAATCTTCACGACTCTCTCCGGCTGGGCCGGATCGAGCGCAAAGTCTTCTACGTCCTCGGCCGGTTCAGCCCTCGGTCTTCTTTCCTCTTGGTCGATGGTTCCGGTGATGGTGTCAACGCGGAATTCCGTCTTACTTACCTTCTTAGTGACTTGAAGATAGCAAGCGCGGGCAATTTTCTGATTCCCCCGGGAATAGCCAATGCCCCCCTCGGCGGGAAACTTGAGGCAGAGGTGCCTCATGGAGATGATGGCTTCGAGGTCCTCGAGGGCTGGCCGGCCGAGGATGATGTTGTGGGCGCAGTCAATGTTGACGACGACGAACTCCACTTCGAGCTGGGCTCTATGGAGCCCGTCGCCGAAGATCACCGGGAGGGTTATTACCCCCTCGGAATCAATAGTGTCGCCGGTGAAGCCGACAAGAGGGGTCTTAATGGGCCGAAGGGACCCCCTCTCCAGATGCAGTTCTCTGAAGGTGCTGAGGTACATTACATTGACGGAGCTGCCCGTGTCAATGTAAGTTCGGTGAATGATGGTGTCGCTTATCTCCGTCCGAATTACCAAGGCATCCCTGTGAGGAGAAGAAGTAGGGGGGAGATCTGCGTTGGTGAAGGTGATGGGTTCCTCCCTCAGTCGCTTTACCGGGGGCATATGAGTGACTTCCCCCACGTAAAGCGATTGAGCCAACGTTTTTCGTTGGTTGGTGGAATCGCCCCCTGTATTGCCACCGGTGATCATGAGGATGTGGCATTTTTTCTCCTGGTAGTGGGGGTATTCCTCCTCCTCTTCTTCCAAGTTCCCAATCTCCCTCTTCTTGCTGAGGGGGATGGTATTCGGGTTTACCCAAGCGTTCACCTTCGTGTGGTGCCCTCGGGGAGGCCCGTGATGAGAAGGTCCCTCCTGCCGAGGGCTCTGAACAAATTGGGACAGGTGCCCTGCTTGTATTAACCTCTCGATGGCCGTCTTTAGCTGATGGCAGTCATCGGTCCTGTGCCCCTGGTGCCGATGGAAGCGACAGTAGGGGAACTGAGGGTTGATAGCGTGTACCTCTGGGGGTGCGCGAGAGTCGCGCTCAACGAGGCCCCTCTCCTCGGCAAAATCGAGGATGATGCTGACGGGGTGCGTCAATGGTGTCCGAGGGCGGTCCAGGAGAATGGGCTGTGCCCAAGTCTTAGGGTTGCTCTTATAACCTCCCCCGGGCTTGGCTTGGCCTTGCCGAGGGCGGTCATCAGAGGGTCCCGAAGTCTTGGGGTGATTTGGAGGAGGCCCCGGCCCTCGGTTATGCTTGTTGTCAGCCCTCGGGGGCTGCTGGTCCGGATACTGGTGGTATTTCTCCACCTCCTCGGCCTCAGCATATCTGTCCCCCCGCTGCAAAGCCCTTATGTAATCGTGAGGGGGTTCAATGATGAGGCTCCTTAAAAAGTTGCCGGTGCGGAGGATGGTTTGTAGGAGGGCCAGGAGGGTCCCGTCGTCAGCACCGTCGACCTTGTCGTCCTCCGTCCTCCAGTGCTCTAGGAAATCCCGAAGGGTCTCATCCTTCTTCTGGCGTATTGTTAGGAGGTGGGAGAAGTGCTTCCTTGTGCGACGCCTCCCGACAAATTGTGTCAAGAATCACTGGGCGAGTTCTTGCCACGAATCAATGCAGCCCTCGGGCAGCCTGTTGAACCATTCGTATGCCGGTCCCTCTAAGGTGGAGAGGAACCATCGACACAAATATTCGTCTGACGCCCCCACCATCATCATGCTGTTCTGGTATTTGCTGTAGTGTTGCTGGGTGTCCGTTTTCCCGTTGTAGGGCTGTATGTGTTGCCCTCGGTATTTCTCCGGGATCCGGGCCGCCAATACCCTTGGGGTAAATGGCGTCCGAGTCCGGAGTTGGATGACGGGTTCTCCGGAGCCCTCGGCCACCTTCTTCTGTAACTCCTCCATTTTGGCCATCATGGCCTCGTATTTGAGATCTGAATGAGGGGTGGAGGTGGTGGCGTGAGCTTTGTTGGACTCCATCTCGTCAAGCCGGCGTTGGAGGGCCGCAATAATCTCGTCCCGGGGATCCTTCGGGAGGGTCTCCGCCCCCTGCGAACGAACCCGGGCCGAGTGGGCCTGGTTGATCTGGTGGCGAGCGTCATCGGCATGAAGGGGTGCCTTGCCTTTGTCCCGAGGGGGACGCTCCTCGTCTGCCCTCGAAACAGATCCCCCGCTTTCCTGGGGCCTTTGGAGTGCTTTCCCCCCGAGGCGGTCTTGGACCCCTCGGCGGTCTGGCCCTCCTCCGAGCCGGTTGAGGGCGGAAGTACGGGGCCTTTCCCTGTTGTCATTATGGCGGTCCCGGGACTGAACTTCCTGGGAGGACGTATCTTGGGCCACCACCCCTTCGTCGTTTCTCACCCGAGGGGTGGGATTTCCGAAGGGGTGTGGCAGAGGGGGAAGTATGATATTTTCCCCGATCTGGGGGTGAGCCAGGGTGCCGAAGGCACCCGGGTTCTGGGTGAGCGTTTGGATGAAGGCGGAGAGCGCCGATTGTACGTCGATGGTGAGAACCGGAGGGCTGACTTGGTCATCGCTCCGGTTTTTCTTCTTGGCCTCGATGTCGAGGCGGCATCGGGGGCATTTTGTTGGATCTGAAGGCGTAGGTCGACAGCCGCCTGTTCCAGCCCAACGATGACACCGCCCTCGGGAGCCCTGTGAGAGGCTTCGGGGGCGTTGACGTCGCCGAGGGCCAGGTTCTTGTCTTCTACGTTTTTTGAGTTGGCACGTGTTGTTCTCACCATTTTGATAGAGGGCTAGTGTTTTGTGTTTGGTCGAGGGGGAGGGTTTCTTACTTGATTGTTCGACCTCTCAACGAGAGCACCAAATGATGGATAGTCTACCCGGGGGTATATATCCGAAGGGTTATTGCGGGGAATAACTTAGAGAGAAGTCAGAATAAGCAAGTAAATGTAGAGAGAGAGTGTATTCAGTATGAATGCCGTTTTCAGCGTGGTTACAAATGGGGAAATGAGGTGCTATTTATAGTAGCAATAAATGCCGGGCAGGGACACGTGTCAAGCGCTCATTGGCCGAGGGGTCACCTCAACTGGTTGGCGCTGGAAGCCGCATGTGGCCGCATTTAATGCGGCTGTTGGATGGGACGTCTGTGCAGGGTACGGTGATCTGTACGCATGTGAGGCGGATATCTTGTCGAGTGAGATGCCTTCGGCCATAGAGCAGTAGCCGAGGGCTCCTCCAACCGATGGCACCCTGGTGCCGAGGGCTCACAGTGCCGAGGGCTACTGTTTTCGCCGTTTTCTCCCAGTTTCTTAATTTGCTTGAGAAACCCGTTCTGCGAGAGTTTAGAGCCTTCGACTAGGGGGCCGAAGGCACCCCTGGCGCGTAGTGTGGGCTGCTTGGTACTCTGGGCGCTGTGATTTGGGCCTGTTGGACCTTCTGGGCCTGTTGGGCCTCTAAAGGAGTAGTAGGAGTCTGTGGGCCGGGTGTTCCCGGGCCATATACTCCATCAATAAGAATCTTTGATCCAACAATTAAGCTCGCCACACATATTAGAAGTCATGTCATATCCATGAGCATAACTTTGGATAAAGATAATTCATGCTTAACAAAAAATAATCAATGTCATTTAAAAAAACGTTCAATGATGCCAATAACGTGTTTAACTCTATGGAATTGCTCTATCACAACTCGGTGACCATTACACATGCATCTCAAACAATTGTCATTGACTCTGACAAATTATCACTTTATTTTATAGTTATCTTTTTCCTAGATTGAGGCACTAATTTTATCATAAGTTTTACTACTTTATTTTTTTTTAAAAATTACTTTATTTCAGGCTTGAAGCCAGGTCTTTAGCCCCCATGCCACTAGGTATTTCACTGCCTGAACGTGAAACTAATAACAAATACTGTGCTATAAATTATTAATATGTTACAAAAGACACTAATACTTTTACAGTTTTACTAGCGTAACTAGTAATACTGTAGATACCCATAAGATTGAGATATTAAAAAGTGATACAATTATTAAAAAAGTCAAATTATATGATTGATGTTGAGTTTGTAAAGTATAAATAAAGGATGAATAGATTAAATGAGAACAAGTATTGCCTAGTGGGACCGACAAAAACAGAGCAGGAGTATCAAATGGATGAAATATAATTTGTTGAGGTCAAATTTATTCATACAAAAGTATCTTATTCATATAAATTTCATTCTATTTGCAATGTAGAAGAGATGCAACTATATGTTTATATACCTTCGTCTACGGTCTACCTGTATCACCACTAGTATGACAGAAATCACAGAATCAATGAAAAAGCACACTGGCTTCTCTTTTATAACAAGCAACTTTGAAGCATAATATATGAAAACATGGAAATTAGGAGGGGGTCTCGGTACATTCAATTACAATATTCTGATTGGTCCACGTAGTCAAGGTATGTACCTTTAAGGTACTTTAGAATTTGCCATATTTATAACCCATAAAAGTAACATGTTGACATATGTAGGTCTGGCCTTTAGTTTAAATTCTTCAACCTCTAACCAGTTTAATACTAATATTACTAGCTTCTCCACGGACGCCTCATCGTGCTCGTTCCCTTAGCACCTCAAGGTCCATTTCAGTTGGATCAGTAGCCTGAATCTCGTAATGGAAACCATCAAGCTCTCTTTTGAACCTATCTTTGCACATCGCGTAAAGCATTCTTGCACGAATTCCAGATGTTTGAGGAGACCTACCAAGAAACAGTACTAAAAACATGAGGCTAATCAGTAGTATAAACTGACATAGAAGATGCATTTTCTCCAATTAGTGTTTGCTTTTCAGCGTTTTCTCCGTCAAACGCTGCACTTAGCAGCGCTTCATGTGTATAATTAATGGTGTTTTGGCTGAACCGCCGATATCCAAACGCAGGCAATATAAGATCTTGAATGATTCCAAATCATAAGCTTGAGGTTGAGTTTGCCTCAAGTGCCTAGAGGGGGATGAATTATTAAATCATAGTAAAGACAGACTAGTGACTAATAGGGGCAGGAGAAGCTAATCATTCTATATCATATCTTATTAACAATATCATAGATAGGTATGGAGATGATCAAGAAAGTGATGGACCATGCAATGAAGAAAATCTTGCTCTTTTGACAATTCTCAGCTGTGACAAAGTCAAAGTCATATACAGCATATCTGCAATCATTTTGTGGCAAAGAATCACTAAAATCACTATAGGTTTGAGCAGAGTTGCCAGTTTTCTCAACCACCACTTCCTTTTTCTTCTCATCGATCTTGAAAATCACATAACGATACACCTTCTTCCTTTGCAGCTCCAGAAATGCGTTTCTGCTGTGATCAGTAAGCACCATGCCTCCGGGAGATGCACTTGCCTGCTGAAAACAATATACTGTATTATTAAAACATCACTGTAGTATGATTTAGATATAAGAGAAAATTCCTTATATAGGACTAAAACATAACAAAGTGCACATATAGGACTACCATTGTTTTCTTCCTAAAATAAGACTTATCCACTCTTAATAGGGGACGTTTTATACTTTTAATAGGATCAAATAAGTCCTATTTCGGGAATAAAATACATATGGCACTATTTGTGCATTTTGTCTAAGTTTTAGTCCTATTTAGAGCAAATCCAGTTCACCTTTTATGTTAAATGTCATATCTCAATAATACATAGTATATACAGATCATACAATCTATTGTAACGTATTAGATTAGTTTTGGTCTAAACTATATTTGTTAAACATTCTACCTCATATTGTCTTATCTTTCCTTTTCGATCTGTCTACCTAAGATTGTCATACCAAATTTGGTAACATTTGTGTGTTTCTAAATCATTCTTACTTTATCTTTACTTTGTCAATTCAGTATCAATTCACTATCAACTCAATGTTTATAAAACACTTAATAACCACATGTCTCAATGTTAGTAGAACGAAGGTAGTTATATCAATTAACTATTCAAATTGAGTTATAAAAACATGGTTATTTCTCTATTAACTTATACTCCCTCCGTCCATTATCACCTACTAGTTACTACATACGAGTTTCATTTTGCACGTTGAAAAGTAAAGTAATAATTTGGAGTGTGCAGAGAGAAAGTAAGAAGCTCCCAAGTTTTTAGGGCAATAAAATAAGAAAGATGTCAAAACCATAAGAGATCGATTGAGAGCAATTTAATTTAACTGCACCTGAAAAATGATACACAAAATTCCAAGATTTGGCTATTCCAAGTAGTTTCCAACTATATACAGAGTATAACCTGATACAAACTAATGGAACTCTAAAGCTCAATAAGTTTAATTTCACAAATCTTTTTTCCCCAAGGGGATAATTAATGAAACAGGAGAGTATTTGAGAATAATTATGAAGACCCGAACACCACAAGCTTCAAAAGATTCCTATGAGTAGTTAAAGATCACAACTTGTAATCAAATACGTACGTATGATATGAATTGAATTGAAGTTCATCATAAGATACGATTGGGAGGGAAAAATTAAAATAATTAGTGTAGCTAGTTATACATACCACTCTAGGAGTTCTGAATGACATTGCAGAGCTTTGAGAGATGATGAAATCTGTAAAGGGAGGGCTGGAGATAGAAGAAGATGATGAATAGACGAAGATCAATCAATAAAAGAAAAGGATTGCCTACTTTATTAAATTTTATGATCTTTGTATCTTGCGTCCACTACTTTGCCTCTTTCTTTATAAATACGGAGTACCTTGCCTTAACTTATGTACGGAGTATTTATTTTAGGATGGCTTTGCGTCTCCCCGAACTAGATCAAACTTAAATAAATCAGTTCAGATCAGATTAGAGTTAAACAAATCAGACCTGACCTGAATTTCTTAGCTATAAAACAGATGCTCATCGAAGATCAGACCAACAAATTATAGTACCCGTGAAAACATCCTTATACAGTTATACGCACTAATGCACTATACGTACTTTACGAGCATGACATGATGATGGGCTTGGTAGTAGAATAGAATATAGTAAAGCTAGAGAAGGTGAGTATAGTCCAATGGATGACCATCCACCCCCAAATATCTACTTTGTGGGAGGTCTTGGTTCAATTTCCCAGCAAGGGGAGATGAGGGAGGTCTTGCTCCCAATGATTCTTCCTACCTTCACGGAGTTGCTCAGCGGCTGAGAAGGGAGAGGATGATAATGAAGGTAGCGGGTTCGTGTGGTGGAAGAAGCAGCCTGAAAGGTGATGTAAGTCTTGCTGGATTCGTCCTTTGGAGCCAGTACTGACGAGGCTGTGATTAGATCCGGATTTAACTGTCTAGGGGCTTTGGAGGGTAGTTCATAGAATACAGGATTATGGGAGCGTAAGCCCCGACATCTGAATTATAAAAAAAAATAGTAAAACTACTCGACGTTCTAGTGTTCTACATATGGGACCGCCCGGGCGGTGCGTTGTAAATACGCTTCCCCAAAAGGTCTGAATCCCATTGATTAAACGGCCACATTTGCATTTATGCTTAAAAAGGGGACACTAAAGTTAGGAACCGCCCCTAGGCTGAAATCAAACTAAGGTTTTTGGGTACAATCGTACAAATTGTGATGTTATCGATCAGTTTCGACCGATTATTAAGATGATAAAAATTGATTCGTAATTGAATAAACGACAATAACCGATCATATACATTTTTGAAACCGGTTTTTCAAAAGTCCAATTGTCTTAAATAAAAATATTAGAAAAAATATTGATACAAAAGTAGTGGGGGTGTTACACTACAAAACAAAATGAATGAAGTAAACGATGTATTTTGATTCATCGATGAAAAAATAAGAAGAAATGAATTACATTATCTCATAATAAAATTGATTAATAATATTACTAGTAATTTTTTCTTGTGCATGATTGTCATTTTATTTCTTTTGGACCAACCACTAAATACTAAATACACGAGATTTATTAGAATACTAGTTTCACGTCGGGCAAGATAATGCCCTATAATAATTTCTTAATTTGGTTAGGAAAAGTAATTTAGGAAATATGTATATATGCCATTTGTAGTTGTTTAATATGATTCTCACTACATCTGAATAAAAACTCTTGCTTTGACTTTGCACGCGGATTAAGAAAGTGAAAAATGTAACATAAAGATCAAATAAGAACAAAAAACTGAGAACGTGAGAACACCACATTTACCCCCAACGTATTGCACAATGAAGCTTTTATATTACACTTTTTCACGTTTTCACAATTACCAAATGTCACTGTGTTTATTTAATATAGACGTACTTAATTTGAGCAAATTAAAAATATGCAACGTAAGAACTTCATGGTGCAGCGGTAAATATCAATTATAGTTTAAAACAAAAAAGAGGAGGTAGAGAGAGGAGCGTCAATGACATGGGAAACTCTAGCTGCCTCTTTCTCTTTTTCTCTTTTTTCTTTTCTTCTTTCAATCTTTTTTGATTTCAATAATGGAAAAACATTTCTTAATCATTGTTTTCAATTTTATTCATCACTTTTATTCTTTTCTTTTCTTTCGCAACGTTGTTCGGAGGTATTATTTTTGATAGCCAAATATATCTCCATATCCCCCCAAGTGGTCTCATAGTCGTCCTTTGTCTGGCACAAGTAAATCGATATATTTGTTTTAGTGATTGTATTAAAAAACCTTAATAATTCGTGCTAAACCTTGTTCATTTGCATCTGCTATTAGGCGCCACTCATGGATTCAAGCGCAACAAGAGTTCTAAGCTTTACCCCATTGAGATTCCAAATATTTTTCTAATGTTCGTGCCATGAAATTAATCAATTTGAAGTCGTCTTTTCGTGTAATATGGTCATTTTGTATTTGATGTATTTGAAGGCTACCTTATGCCTTGAATTATTATGATTATACCTTGTGCACACAATGATGTTTATAACTTGAGGGGCCAAATTAAATCTTTGTATGCAACAATTTCAGTTAAAATGATTTTTTCATTATATTAAACCTCATGAATTGGGTTTTAAGGCTGACACATTTCAATCTTCTCCATTATTGGTTCAGTTACTAATCTATTTGGAGCCCGTTTGGTAACACTGAAATCGGCTGAATCGGCTGATTCTGCTGGAATTTATGAAGTTCTGGCTGAAGTGGCTGTATTGGCTGATTTTGCTGATTCATGAAAAAATTAAATTTAAAATATACTTTATTAATAAAATAAAGAAAAAATTATATGTAAAAATAGCTAAAATGGTTCTCTACAGTAACTTCAGCCGATACAGCCATAAAAGTAACTCAAACCTTACTTTTTCTGCTTATTACAAAATTTAGCGCGCGAAATCAAAAGTTACGTGTTTGATGAAAAAGCTGGCTGATAAGCCGAAAAAAGGGCTCACTAAACGGGCTCTTGATCTACCCTCATATTCCATTGTTCCAAAAGGTGGAATCTCCCACCCCAGGAGCCCCCCCCACCCCGATCCGACAGGATGGTGGGGAGGTTAGTCACGGTGACTCAGTCAGCAGAATGGCAGTAGGCCCATACACCCGTGCGCACCAGAGGCCCAACCTTATTTCAGGTTCTGTGACCTTCACCTGGTCGCTGCGGAGATTCGAACCTTGGTCCATTGTTTCAAATCTCCCACCACTCGACTAACTGAGCTACCCGTGCGGGTATCTACCCTCATATTCCAAATGCTGCTTGCGGGTGTTTGCTACTGAAATGATTAAAAAACTCCTTTGTACCGAATAGATAATCACAATAACTATTCCTATAGTCAATTGAACTGCATCTTAATATCTTATTTAATCTATCTAACTTTTATCACATTCTGATTTAGTTTTTGTGCTTTGATTATAACACTATTAATGTAGTGTAGTTTATAAATATGTAACTATTAGGCCTTGTTTGGTTCAAAGGAGGGGAGGGAAGGGGAGAGTCAAGGAGGGGAAGAAGGGAAGGAGAAGGAAGGATTTTGATAAAAATTTGTGTTTGGTTGGAGGAAATAGGAGGAAAGGTTTAATGAAAATATTTTCGCAATTACTTTTATTTGATACCTTATTTAAAAAAATAGATACATGTCTAACTATTGTGAATATTACTCCTATGGTCATGAGTCATAATTTTATTTTATATGATTTTTTACCTTTTTAATTTTATAATTTTTCATTTCTCAGTTTGGAATTTTTAATTTTTTTTTTAAATTTTTTATATTTAATATTTAAAAATTTTAATTTATAATTTTTTAATTTTTTAATTTTTAAAATTTTTAATCTTTAAATTTTTAAATTTTTTAATCTTTAATTTTTAAATTTTTTAAATTTTTAAATTTTTAAAATTTTCAAAACTTTTTGTTTTTTACCTTTATATATTATAACGTTGTGTTGATTCACATATGAGATAGATAGTTTGTGGTTATCAACACGTTTCCTTCAAAATACCCCGATTTGGGGGTTTAGAATGAGAGGAAGTGAAAGATTTTGAAAGCCTTCCACTTTCCTACTCTTCCCCCATATTTCCTTCAACCAAACACACACAAATCCCTCACTTTCTTCCCTTCCCCTCCGAAACCCTCCAACTAAACAAGGCCTTAATAATCTTTAGTACTGATTTATATGTCAAAAGGTTAGATACCGGGTAAACTAAGATTGATATATTTGTTCATTGTGTAATAAGTATCCCCTCTCATCTTAAGAGTCGTGCTTAAAAGCATTAACAAAAGCTGCAGAAACAATAACCTATTCCAGGAGTTCGGCTATGTTTCATTTGAAAGTATAATCACCCATTTTTAGTGTATATGACCCTCATACAAATTGGTGTTAAGGACCCTGGTACAGGATCTCGTCCAAGGCCGTTGATAATGAAAGACGGAATCTGAAACTATGATGTTGGAATAAAAAAAAACCTAACTTCCTGCCCGGGGCAAGGAAGGTGATTTCTGGCTCCACCAGTAAATCAAGAGATTAATTAATCCAAACTTAATACTTTATTCAAACTGATAAGCCTTATACACGCTTAGTCACACGGGTATTCTGGTAGCAGTTTGTTAGGTTTTACATGTGTCTCCTTCCCATTAGATCAACATCTTTTTACTTGAACACCAAGTATTGCCTTTTTTTCTCTTAGTATAAATATCACCTTCCAACTTGTGGAAAGGGATCGCATTCTCAATTCTCTTACTGTTATACTCCTGAATTGTCTATTTGTATTTTGCGATCAGTTCACTCTCTCATTCTGTTTGGATTCCGACTACCCCGTCCGGTGATCCATCAGTGGGTAATGTGGAATTATTAGTGGGGCTTAGGGCAGGGCGAGTATTTTGTTTTATTAGGAGTAATTTTTTTGATAGGAATATTTATCCGCACGTATTCAATAAGCAGTATATTTTACTTACACATAATTAACATTAAAAATATGTGTGGGTAATATTAAAACCAAAAAAACCACATCGGCTATTTCCCCTAAAAGACTATGCACGTATACATGAAAAAATTGGAAGGAACTTTCCCTCTAAATTTAAGTGACACAAAAACTTTTTACCCACACTTCATATATGTAACTAATTAAGTTTAAACGGTCTAGATGATTACCTACACAAAATTAAATTACGTGTCACTACTTACCTACACATTTTATGTGTGGCTATTTTATGTGTGGGAAAAACATCCAATTTCTTGTAGTGTATATAGGTAGAAATAAGTTTCCTAAATAATATTAGGAAACATATCTAAATTATTACACTCATTAATAAGAGATTGCCTAAAATAAGAAAAGCTAGATA